GCACATTGTGAAAAGCTGAAACTTCATGGGGAAAAATATCCTAAAATCTTACAAAGCACAACAGGTTACAAAGTATTAGCAATCAAAAGAGATTTCGCAATAGCAGGGCTGATCTCTAGAAGCTAGTAGAGCAGTCCTTGAAAAATCGGAACAGAAAAATAGATTTCAACCCAGACTTCTGTATTTGAACTGTTAGTTAAGGGTGATGACAAAGACATGTTTATGAACTCGTGGATTCAAATGACTTCCAGGACATTGTTTCCTAGCCACTGGAGGATGAACTCCAGCAAAATGTGGAGGAAACCAAGAAGGAGCCTTAGATAGCAGTAGGAGAAGAACCCAGCATGGAAAGCAGCCAGACCAGGATTAGAGCAAGGGTTCAGAAAGCTCCAGAAGTGATGTCTCTGATGGAGAAAAAAACAGAACTAATGTATTTAGTTAGGCACATGGAATATTTGTTGATGGGCATAAAATAGAGGTGTTGAGCATATGGAATAAATTTGTGATGGGTTCATGTACAACCAGACACACGAAGAAAAAAAGTTAGGACATGATTAACTCCAGGAAAAATGAAGGCTCGTGTGAAAAAGAAGGCATAGTCACAGTGCATTACCTGACCTGGCATTGAGCAACATTTGCCAAGTTGTAATAACACAAACACTGACTTTTGATTTGATTAAAATTATACTGTGACCATTTGGGGCACTAACAGGAAGTAAGAGAAGTGTATGGGAATGCTAAGCCTTTATTTCCCATGGTAGGAAATCAGAAGATATCTAAAACTGATAACAGTAGTATAAACGTACCATGCCAATAAGCGTTGGGCATCAGTGTTTTGGCAGCAATTTTACGAAAGACACACACGTGTTTTTGCAGGGCTGTGCCTTCACGTGCCCTCTCCATGAAAGGTGAGGGCCCAGCCCAAAGGCTTTGGGGAACAAAGGCAAACATTCCTTAGTCACTGTTTTCGGGTACAGACAGCATCCTAGAGCTGGCCCTGCACACTTTTCAGTTATGGGAAATTAAATTCCGCTCTTCATTTTCAGTCATGTAGAAGGGGCCAAGTCTTTTCTTTGCAACTGCGTTTCTCCCAGATTGCTTCCACAGATTGAAACGGGGAAAAGAGAAGAGCAGGCTGACATTCAGGATACAGACTTTCTCACTGGACCAGTGTGTTACCTCCTGATTACTTGCCTGCACAGAAGGTCTTTAAAAATGATTAAAAGACAGAGGCATTTCTTAGTAAAGTCGGCATTCTGTTGTCACGAGTTTTGGAGGGTAAGGGAAGGTTGTGTTCAATGTGTGTTTCCTTAGTTGATTGGCGACCACTGGAGAAATTATAGGGAACAAAGGAAAAAAGAGCCATAAATACAAATGAATTCCTTTTATACACGTTGAAAAACCACAGGACATGCTCCATTTTTTTTTTTTTTTAGCACTCCAGGTGTGATCGGAGATTACGGATCCACACAGGAGAGTGGAGAGTTAATTAAAATTTGTGCTCCGACTTCCAGAAAGAAATGCCTTTCCATTTGATAAGCAGGCTGTCTTTGGAGTGCTGTTTGTGCTTTTCTGTCCTCACTGGAGTGTCACAGAAAAGCAGATCAAAGGGAGCCTCCATTCGGATAGGTTTTCTACCACCTTTCTGAGCTAATGGACTTGAAAGCCTCTTGCACTGACTGCATGGGGCTCATGTCATATTCTAGAAATGCCGTCTTCGTACAGTATTGATAATATGCAAACAGGCTTTGATAGATGCTTACAGGAAATCACATTTAACATTAATTAAATCAAGACCATCCCCAATAGAGTGGGAGAGTCTGGCAGAGTGGGACACCTCACCCCCTACCATTTGTATTTTACTTTTCAACTCACCACGTGACGGCCAGATATTAACACTTGAGATTGAACCGTCAGCTCTGTCAAGCAGGGTTATGTTTTGTTGTGTTTCCTCTTTTCCTTTCAGTCTTTCTGCTTCTGCACCCTCTGGCTGACATCCCCTACCCTGAGGGGAAAAACTGTTGGGGAGAAATCCTGCTGTCTTTCTCTTTAAGATAGTGACAGAATGAAATAAAACAGAGCAAAATAGAGGCCGCGTGCGAGGCCTGTCTGAGCAGGTCAGGCAGGCTTCAGCAGGGGTTTGTCCATTGTCTTGCTGTGCTGGGTGCCCGCCGGAGAGAACCCGGCCGGCCAGGGCACAGTCACTAATAAAAGGACTCCATTCTGCCACTCAGGGCTTTGTGAGGCGCCAAAGCTTGTCCTGGTTGCCATGGCTACTGTCTGATTGTGGCGGGTTTGTCACAGTGCTTGATAAAGTGGGAAGGTTATTCTTGATAGGCCCAAGTAATCATAACCTCGCAGAGCTCGAGAGTGTGGATTTAACACTTTTTCCCTCCCCTCTCGAAATCGGGAATGCAGAGATGGGGGCAGGGTTGTCAGGATAAAGCAGCCACAGCAGGTGGTGAGGGCCATGCCTGGCAGGAGGGATGCAGCTAGCTAGCTGTGCCCAGGGGGCTGGGCGGAAAGGGGTGTCACTGGGTCATCTGCCGTCCCTTGGCTGGGTGGGGGCTTCAGAGAAGGGGTCAGAACGGGGTTCTCTCCTGACCGCCTCCCCCCATCAAGTGATTATACCTGTGCTCCTCTCTCCTTTCCTCCCTTCCATCCTTCCCTTCCTGCTCCCCCTCCTTTATTAAGGCCCTTCCTTTCTTCCCCTTCCTTAGCCTCCCATCCTTCCACTCCCCTTCTCCTCTGTTCTCTCCCCTTCCTCGCCCCAAATCCCTTACAGATCTGGTCCTTTCAGAACCCTCTACTTTCCCTTCTCAAGGTTTATTTATTTTTGGGACAGAGAGAGACAGAGCATGAACGGGGGAGGGGCAGAGAGAGAGGGAGACACAGAATCGGAAACAGGCTCCAGGCTCTGAGCCATCAGCCCAGAGCCCGACGCGGGGCTCGAACTCACGGACCGCGAGATCGTGACCTGGCTGAAGTCGGACGCCTAACCAACTGCGCCACCCAGGCGCCCCTACTTTCCCTTCTCAAGAGGAGAAGGATGGGGAACGTTAGCTCGGAGGTAACAACTGATGGAATTCAGCCATAGAACTGCAGTCTCTTCACTGTCATCAGAAGAGAACTAATTGATTCTCCGGGCAGTACCTCTCTGACTTGCCGCATCAGAACTACTGAGAAGGTTCCTTCAAACAGATTCCAGGGCGCACCCCCAGGTTTCTGATCTGGTGGGTCTCTGGGGAGGGGGCGGTTTGCAAGACTCTGAATTTCTAACAAGTTCCCAGGTGATCCCAATGTTGCTGGCTCAGAGACCACACTTTGAGAACCACTGTCAGAGGCCAAGACTTATTTTTTACAGTTGAGGAAACAGGCTCCCAAAGGATAAATTTGTTGCCAGGAGTTCAGGTGGCTTGGTAGCCATGGTGGGATGGGTGCCCAGTGACAGGAGTTTTAAAAGACATTTGAGGGGCGCCTGAGTGTCTCAGTCGGTTAAGCGAACCCCAACTTCGGTTCAGGTCACGATCTTGCGGTTTGTGACTTCGAGCCCCGCGTCGGGCTCTGTGCTGACAGCTCGGAGCCTGGATCCTGCTTGGGATTCTGCGTCTCCCTCTCTCTCTCTCTGCCCCTCCCCCACTTGCACCTGCACGCTCGCGCACGCTGTCTCTCTCTCAAAAATAAATCAACATTTAAAAAAAATTAAAAGCCATTTGAAGAGGTAGGGCTCATCTGTCTTCCAGCCCCCTAGCCCAGAGCAGCCAGATGAGTGGTTCTATTTCCAAAAGGCCTCCAGCAGGACAGCCACTCCCACCAATGGTTCCCTTCTGAGCAGTGCCTCCCCCAAGTGAAGCCCACCTTCCTCGGTGCTCTAGGCCCGGTGTGGCCTTCTGTAGTATATGCTGGAGTTTTCTCCCCCCGGATGCCCCTTCCCCCACTCCGTCTGTCAACTCTCTGCCCGGCCCTTGGGCCCCAGGAAGCCCACCTTGACCATGGCTGGTATCCTTCCGCTCTCCTGACCTTCGAAGCCTCGTGGCCCTGCCAGTAGGCCATTCTGTATTTCCATTACTTCCATGTGGGTGCTGTTGCCTCTATGAACTGTGACCTCTAGCAGCGGGACCGTGCCTTCATTCACCTCTGTACCCACCACTCTGAAGTACTAGCTGGATGCATCCACACAGCTGCCTCGGTTGGAAAGAGTCTGGACACAGGTTTGAGATGTTCTGAGGCCAACTACAAGAAGCCAGCCTAACAGGGATGGGGAATCCATTGTACACACAGGGCAGGACCTTCCAGTGTCAGTGAGGAGCCAGGAGTAAGGCATCAGGCCTGCTGCCTTGAGAGAGCACGAGGAACCCAGGGCAGTAGCCTCTAGTTAGGGCACCCCCCACCCCCGACCGTGGTGGCAGGACTGAGTTTTTAAATTGAAAGGCAAGTTAGCCCCCTCAGACACACGCGGAAAACACAGGCAGCACTCATTTATCCCTTTATGGCAGGATATATAACAGGTGAAGCTCCCTGTGTACAGGTGTGTGCGTGAGCACACGTGTGTGTGTGTGTGTGTGTGTGTGTGTGTGTGTGTCTGGGTTGTTGCTGCCATGACTGGATGATGCTAACGACATGATCACTTATGAAATGCCGTCTAATGCCCCACGACACACTCCGAAATCACCAGTGTGTGGTGTCATGAATATGGCTTTGAGGCAAGGTGATTGCACTTCTCCAGTGAAACTCACAGGAGGCTAGTTGTCCAGACAAGAATAAACCCAAATGAATGCATTAATCCTTTGGCTCCAATTCCTTGCCGACTGCACAGACTGAGTTGGGGCCCAGCAAGAAATCCCATGTTGGCAGTTTGGCTCTGAAATCTTTAAGCGTCGTTGGAGCCGGGCCTCCAGGCTGCAGGACGCCCCCCGCCTCTTTACTGAACAGCACCCCCTCAGTCACTCAGGTGTTGACGTGGTGCGGTCGCAGCCCTCACAGTGGCCTTTCTCCCCCAGGGTGTCGAGGTGCAGACAGACTACGTGCCCCTGCTGAACTCCCTGGCGGCCTATGGCTGGCAGCTCACCTGTGTGCTACCTACTCCCGTTGTCAAGACAACCAGGTAACAATAATAGTCATCGTTGTTGTTGTTCTTATCATTATTCAACACTTCCTCTGTGCTGCACACTGCTCCCAGTAAGTGCTTCATGCACATAATTTATCTAATCCTGTGACAAGTCTGTGAGGCTAGTGGGGTCACTCCGATTCTCTGGCTAGGAAGTGACAGAACCAGGATTTCAGATTCTTAACCACCACCCCCACAGAGCGCTCCCCGGCACCCCTCTTCCCACATGGGGAGCCTTGGTCAGTGAATCATTACTGCCAGGCATGTCAAAGATGAGCCCCCGGGTTGAGGGGCCCCAGGGCTTTGAGGTGCAAAAGAAATTGAGCCCCTACTGTGTGCCCTGTGCTGGCCTGGATAGGTGCCTTGCGCGTAAAATTTCATTTAGTCCTCAGAAAACTCCTAGAAGGTGGAATCCTTTTATTAAACCCATTTTATAGCTGAGGCAACGTGGCCAGGGAGGTTGAAGGGACTCAGCCAAGATCACAGCCCTGGGCCCTGGTCAGTAGTCCCACAAAGAGGAGGTAAAGACCTGCAGTCTTGCCCTTTGCTTGAGGCACTTCTTACAGTTTCACATTTATAGGGACACTTGTCCACCTGAGCTCAGCCCACCGTCCCCTCAGCTCATGGGCTGGTCCTGGTGTTACTAACCCTGAAAGGCCTTCCATCTGTATTTTGGGTGTATCTAAACTAATCCTCCTAACTATCCTGTGGGATTATAAGCATAGATAGGATTCCCATTTTGCAGATGAAGAAACTGAGGCTCAGAGAGGCTCTGTCACATACCTGAGGTCACACAGACAGTAAGTGGCAGAACCTGGGACTAGCACCTCAGTCTGCATAGTCAGGCACTTCTCCTAGGCCAGGCAGCCCCTTTGCTGACCTGTAGGGATGCCCCCTCCCGTGACCCTCAGTGTCCCACCTTCCCCGAGTCCTGCTACATGTTCACAGGGTGATGGCCAGCGTGAGGCAAGGCTGGCGATCTGGGGGGACAGCAGGGCGGTGTAGCCGCAGAGCCTAGACTGAGGGTGAGAATGATGGTGATGATCAGTGCCTTCCAGGGTCCCTCCCTGAACGCAACTGGGCTCTCATCATGTCCCCCTCCTGACACTGGGCTACAGTGGGGCACTGCACTCTGCGGGGGGCTAGTCTGCAGCACCTTTGGGCTCTGGGCCATTGGGAGCCTCCATGCTGCTTCATGGCCAAGACTCCTGTGGGTATGGGGTGATGCAGAGGGGTGGAAAGAACCCTGCATTTGTGGCCTGAAAACTTGAACCCGAGTCCTGAGCCTGCCACTTGGTAACTGTCCGTCTTGGTCAAGTCCCAGAGCTGCTCTGAATCAGTTTCCTTGTCCGTAAGAGGGAAGAATGCCTACCCCACCACCCATTCCAGAGGACAAGAGTCGTGATGAGAATGGGCTTGCGCGCAAAGCCCCAGCTCTCTAAACCCAGAGGGTGCTGACAGGTGTCTCTGTCTCCATGTCAGATCTCACACCTGCTCAGTCACCGCCCCCCCCCCAGTCCTCTACTTCCCTGTGCCCTACATGCCACTTCGCGGTGGAGTGGGGGGCACATGGAACCAGGCAGGTTTGAGCTTGAAGCCTCGCTGTGTGATCCCAAGCCCGCTCCTTAAATGAGCTTCTGTGTCCTGACTGTGAAGGCGATGGGCTTCCACTGCTTGGAGCTCTGTGGTGAGGCTTAAACGAGCCATGGTGTGTGAAACTACCCAGCCCAGCCCCAGCACAAAATACGTTCGTTTCCTCCCACCTTCCCCTCTGACATTCCACGCAGTGACGCTTGCCTCAGCAGAGAAGACACTTGCAAAGAGAGATTTAAGAAAGTGATCAGAAGATAGAGGCAGGGCTGAGAACAGTGACCTTCACAAACACGTCTGCCATCTTTGAAGGCAGCTGTGTGGGGTCTGAGAGGAACGCGCACTCACTGCGCCTTAAACAAGGGCGGCCCTCCTGAGCGCCCCTCACCTGAGCCTGCAGGAGCCGGGCTGCCTTGGCGAGGGCTGCCAGCCAGGGTGAATCGGGCGCATGGCCCTCCCCTCTGCTCAGCCAGGCTCTGTGCCTGCTGTTCGGTAAAGGCTGGCCGGCGGGCAGAGCTCACCACCCATCCCGGGCCAATCTGACCTCTCCATGGCTCATTACCAAAGACAGATTTGGAAGAGGCTTCCCACCTCTTGAGATTCACTGAAGACGCCAGTTTATCATCATTTGGCCAAGATGCCAGCTGTTATTCCACATCGAGGGAAGGAAGGGGAGTTTCCAGCAACGAAGCTGGTATGGCAGGGACACCCACAAAGCTTTTGTTGAGCCCCCAGCATAACCCTCTGGAAGCAAGAGGGGGATGGCCTGGGAGGGGGCTGCTGCTTGATTCCTGACCTCTCACTGTCTGGTGGCAGCTTTCCTTTCTGTGGGTGGTCAGCCTTGACAAAGTTAGGGACAGAAACATCTGTGAGGCTTGGGGTCCCCCCCCTACCGCCACCAGGTGTAACAACTCGTTCTCCACTCTGCATGTGTTACAGGGAGGGGAATGTATCCACCAAGCAGATTGTCTTTCTTCAGAGACCGTGTCTACCTCAGAAAATCAAGAAGAAGGAATCAAAGGTAAGTGACCTTGATTGCCTTCCCCAGTTTTCCTTAGCAGGGCTCCATCCTCAAGTGAATTTTCTATAGCAGTTGAGCAGGCAGTCAGCTCCAACTTCCAGGGGCTCTCAGAGGAACGCCTGAGCCCTGCGGCAAACTGAATCACACCCGAGGCTGCCAAAGCCGGACAGATGGGGACACTGGAGGGTCTTGTCCTGCGGTTGGGCTGGAGAGTAGGGTGGAACAGTTCTGCTGGACACTCATGTAGGCCAGATATTCCCAGTAAACTAAAAATAGGGGCATGAAGTCAGCTGCCATCTGACCAGGGGGCAGGATGGCTTGAGGTCATGCCCAGCTTCTCTGAATCTTCATCTCATTACAAGCTCTGGTCGCAGCCCGTTGGATCCGTCAGGACATCAGAAGTTTGGTGGTTTTGGCGGAGGGACCCTGCCAGGGCTCCTTCTTGGCGTGCCCCAACCCGAGGGCCTCTTAGTGGCAGCGGCTGGTGTGGACAGAGACCAGCCGCAGTCTGTGGCAGTGGACCCTCGGGCTAGGCTATCCAGGGGATGGCCAGGGGCCTTTCTCCCTCACTGGATGTCGCATGAACCGGCCTGGAAACAGCCATGCTGAGAGCCTGTGGCTGCTCTCAGAAATTCTCCCATGTTTCCAGAAGTCAAACCCAAGTCTTTCCCCTGTGTCAGACACTTCTGATGCTTCCCAGCCCCAGCCGGTGGGTGATTCTCCCGTGGGCGTTTCACCATTTACTCAGGAAGAGATGAGCGAGTCAGTGTGTCAAAGCCCAAGTCAGGTGTCACCCGAAGCCAGCTTGAGCCACCTTTGCTGGCCAAGGCAGCGCTGCCTGGCAGAGCCTGGTGGACCCGCCCCACTCCTCACGCTTGGCACCGTCCCGTGCTCCCCCCTGTTAGTTCCTCACGTCCTTTGGACACGGAGCCTGGACAGGAGCAACAAGCAACGGACAGATTGTAGCAGCCCCTCACCAGCCAGCAAACCCGGGGGGCGGGAGGGAGGGTCCTGGGAGGAACGCCAAGGAAACGGCGACCTGAAGCCAGATGGTGTAGAATGCAGAGGAAGGTCTCTGTCTCCGCTCCAAGATGCTAATGTGACAGGTGACAGCAGCCGAGGACCAGAAGGCAACCGCTGAAGCCACCATTAACCACCAGGAGCAGTCAGCCGCCGGCTGGAAGATGGATCTTCCCGGGACCACTGTCAGCTGCAGCTTTGCCCCAGGCTCCTGGGGACCGCGTGCATTCACAGTGACATCCAACAAAAGCACAGGCGAGGCCTCCATCAAACACCAAAACACGCCAGCTCTGCCCTTAAGAGAGGGAGGTGGTGCTGCATTTTCTGGATCCCAGAGGAGAGACGTGTGGTTTGATTTTGGTACAGAGGCTGTGGGGCTCACAGAGGGCGACAAGCAGGAGATTTTAGAGGTAGAGTTTTAAAGCTGCTGTAACAAGTGGAGCAGCTTCCGTCAGGAAAGTCCTGAGGATGGAGTCATCTAGTTCGTGATCAGGAGAAACTTGCGCCCCAATCAGCCGCAAACATCTGGGCAGCTGCTTTCTCTTTTGAAGGACTTATTTATCCCCTGCCCATTCATAGGGTTGGCTCACGTCCAGCGCTTGTTTTCTGTGTGACCTGGAGAGGTCGCCTCACGGGCAGAGAGCCCCAGCGAGGGGACTTTATAGCCTGATGGCTTGTCCCCCTTTCATCGTCCTGGCCAGTCTTCCCGCGGCTGACTCAGGTCGGCATCCTACTCCCACTGAGGTCTGGGTGCCCCCACGTTCATGGCAGTAACTCCATCGAGCCCTTGCAGGACTGATACTGTTGGCTGCCCTCTGCCTCTTGAAGCACCTTTTCTCTTGGCGCTGACCCCACACCATCCTGGTTTTCCACTAGGTGGTTCAAACCCAGCCCCATTTCTCTCTCACTCCCTAATCTCTTCCTTAGAAAATCTCACTCATTCCCCAGAGTGAAAAATCTGACTCCCCACCTCCGAGGTGATGACTCCTACACCTGCATTTTCAGGACTCGCTTCTGCCCGAAACCCAGCTCCACGTGCCCCGTCACTACTCAGCATCTCAGAGCCACCTGTGATCTGGCTATCCCCCTCCCCCTGTCTAGAACAAGGGCACCACCACTGTCCAGAGGCACCCACCCACCCAGGGCTCATCCTTGACTCCCCGTCTCCTTGTTGCCGTGGTCAAGCAGAAACTTGAATCCTCAAGACAGAAACTTGAATCCCTCCCCTTCTCTCCACATTCACAAGCCTCAACAACTCTAATCCTCTGGTAACAGGTCTCCCCTTGAACTATATTCTCCATCAGGAGCCAAAGTGATCCTTAAGAAAGAATATTGCAGGGGCGCCTGGGTGGCGCAGTCGGTTAAGCGTCCGACTTCAGCCAGGTCACGATCTCGCAGTCCGTGAGTTTGAGCCCCGCGTCAGGCTCTGGGCTGATGGCTCGGAGCCTGGAGCCTGTTTCTGATTCTATGTCTCCCTCTCTCTCTGCCCCTCCCCCGTTCATGCTCTGTCTCTCTCTGTCCCAAAAATAAATAAACGTTGAAAAAAAAAATTTAAAAAAAAAAAAAATATTGCAGGGCACCTGGGTGGCTCAGTCACTTGAGTGTCTGACTCTTGATTTTGGCTCAGGTCACGCTCTCACAGTCCTGAGCTCAAGCCTCTGCATCAGGCTCCACATTGACAGCACAGAGCCTGCTTGAGATTCTCTCTCTCCCTCTCTCTTTGCCCACCCCCTGCTTGCTCTCGCTCTTAATCAATCAATCAATCAATAAAAAGAAAAAAGCGTACTGAATCATGTCACCCCACTGCTTAAAGCTTTGTGTGAGTCTTAAGATAAAGGTGGAAATCTACAGTGAGATATCCACAGGACTGTGTGTGATCCGGCCCTTCTTAGCTCTTGTGCCATCACCCCCATTTTCTGCATTCCACCTACTGTGGCCTTCATGCTCTTCTGTGTCCCTTCCTGCCACAGGGCCTTTGCTTTGACTGTTACCTCTGCTTCAGATGCTCTCTTCCTTTGTAATACGTTGGGAATAACCACATTCCTGTCTTGCAGAACTCTTCTTTTGATCTAGAATTATTTGTGATCATTAGTTTATCCTCTGCTGATAAGAGTCAGACATTAACTCCATGAGAGCAAAGCCCTGTTTTCCTGACGTTTACATGCCCAGTACTTGGCTTTTAGTTGGTACTCGACAGATATTTGTTGAACCAATAAATGAGTAATGAAACGTCTGAGCCCAGGACATTCTTATTACGTATGGGTTGAAATCGAAGAAAAGGGACCATAAGGTTGGCACAGCAAGGACACAGCATATTGAGTCCTCTTTTAATCAGCAAAGTGGAGGAAATTCTCCAATCAGGACTTTTTCGGCATTTGGAAGAAGCCTCTTTGTGTGTGTGTGTGAGTGTGGCTCTCAAAGCAAATAATTAAACTCCTTCCAAGGTAATAGGTGATTTCTGCCACACCAGAAGTCTTCCTTCCAGCTAACGCTCCTTGAAGTGGAGGCAGATAACGGACAGTTTTTAAAATGTGCGAATTAAATCCATTAGCCCTTGCCACTCGGAGCTCTGGACACACACTGCTATAAAGTGAGGGATTTTTTTCTCTTCTGCAGTTATCGCTGACACGGACGGCTCATTGGATCCTTCTTGGTATGGGCACCAGTGGGCGGCACACCCGAGTGCCACAGACACACTGGCTTGGGAAGCCTGCTTAACTTGTTCAGAGGCTCTGCCGATACTGCTCGAGATAAGGAGTCCGTCCTCCCGGCTGGGCCGCCTGCCTTTAAGCATCTGAATGTTACACACCTCCCCTCAGATCTGCAACCCATAAAGCTGTCACTGTCCCACGGGTGGCCTTTTTGAGCCTTGGGATCTGGAACAACAGTTGTTTGTTAAAGCCCAAGATTATCCTCAGCTTAAAGGAGGAGGAGAAGCCCAGGTTAGGAAGGGAGCCCGGTGAAGATGGGAGGGAGACAAGAAACCCCTCCATGGGGGACAGAGCTGGGGGCTGTGTTTCTCTTTAGCTCAGTGCTTCTCACACTGTGGCCCGTGGACTAGCAGTATCAGCCTTACCTGGGAGTTTGTTAAAAATGCAAAATTTCCTGGGAATGCAAGCTGGTGCAGCCACTCTGGAAAACAGTATGGAGGTTCCTCAAAAAACTAAAAACAGAACTACCCTACGACCCAGCAATTGCACTACTAGGCATTTATCCATGGGATACAGGTGTGCTGTTTCGAAGGGACACATGCACCCCCATGTTTATAGCAGCACAATCAACAATAGCCAAAGTATGGAAAGAGCCTAAATGTCCATCGAGGGATGAATGGATAAAGAAGATGTGGTATATATACACAATGGAGTGTTACTCGGCAATCAAAAAGAATGAAATCTTTTGCAGATGCAGATGCAGATGGAAATGGAGGGTATGATGCTAAGCGAAATTAGTCAAAGAAAGACAAATATCATATGACTTCACTCATATGAGGACTTTAAGAGACAAAACAGATGAACATAAGGGAAGGGAAACAAAAATAATATAAAAACAGGGAGGGGGACAAACCAGAAGAGATTCATAAATATGGAGAACAAACTGAGGGTTATGGGAGGGGTTGTGGGAGGGAGGATGGGCTGAATGGGTAAGGGGCATTAAGGAATCGACTCCTGAAATCATTGCTTCACTATATGCTAACTAATTTGGATGTACATTTTAAAAAATAAAACAAGTTAGAAAAAAAATGCAAAATTTCCCTCCTCTCTCCAGGTTGCACACGCTGGATGGGGTGAGTGATGGGTTTCAGGAGCCCTCCAGATGATTCTGACGTGTGCTCAAGTCTGAGGGCCGATGTCTTAGGGGAGTAGTTTAGGGTCCTTTCTTGGCTCACCTGTGGACTGCCATTCAATTTTTATCATTATTGATTTTTTTAAAAATAGGCCTGTCAGGGAGGCTTCAGTGTAGATCTTTTTTTAAGTAAGTCAAAACAAAGTATCTTTAATGGCAGTTAAATCTGACTTCCATTAGCTAACCACTCGGCCTAATGAGTCAAGTGCCTGACCCAGCAGGTGCATCTTAACATTGTACTGTCTGAAAGCTGAGGCCCTTACGTGTCGGGCTAACCATTCCAAAGGTGCATGTCCTCTCCCTTTGTTTCCTCTCCTCCCTGGCCTCTACAGCAAGAGCCTAAAGCCTCTCGTCTGCCAAGAATGAGAAGCTGGAAGGGTAGTGTGGATGGAGCCAGAGACACCTGCATTTGAATTCCAGCTCTGCTCTTTTCTAGCTGTGTGACCTTGGGCAAGTTGCTCCACCTCTCTGAACCTCTGTGTGCTCATCTATACAACAGTGCTAACAGGACACTGTCCCACAAAGGACAGAAGAACAAGGGAAGAGTTGAGTCAGGACCTCCTCGGGACTTGTCTGCAGCACCCGTGACAGATGTGGAGGGGTGCCCCCCCCCAGGAGCTTGGGGAACAAGTGACATCACCACAGCCCATCTGGGGACACAGAAAACAGTGTAGTCCTAGAAGGCATTTGGCTTGACAGATTTCCCTGTGATGACCAAGAAGGACAGAAAACGGCTGGGAGAGTTCTCGCCAGCTCAATGCCAGCAGCCCCGGCTGGTTCCCGGCGAAAGCGGCCGGTGTTCTCCTGGTGGATTATAGCAAATCAACAAAATGTGATCTACAGGAAACTAGATGTGGCTGGACTTCCAGAAGAGGCATGGAAGTTCTGTTTAGTTACCAAGAGCAGCGCTGAGAGAATAGCTGGGTTTGCGTTAGAAGACAAGAGTCGAGGCTAGAATGTGGCACAGGTAGAATCATCCAGGGTTGTGCACTGCTCAGCTGCAGAGGGGGCTCTTGGCATCCACTACAGCGAGGATGGGCCCCCGAGGTGCAGCACAGCCCCGGGGCGGGGGGGGGGGGAGAGGCGGGGCAGACACCTATTTCAGAGATGAGGAATTTGAGATTTGGAGGGATCAATAACTTGCCCAAGGACAGATGGCTCGTGAGCGCCAGAACTGACTGACATGTGACGGGAGGTCTGGGCCACCATGCTATCATGCTTTGACGTTTTAGCATTTAGAACCTTTCACCGGAAGTAATCTCACCACTTTATTGGCAAAAGTGAAGCTTCCTCCGACTTGCCTGATAGCTGGCTTCCTCTCCAAGTACTGTATACAGGCAGGCTTACCTGGCCTGTTTCTAAAAACATGCAAAATGCAGGGGCGCCTGGGTGGCTCAGTCGGTTGAGCAGCCGACTTCGGCTCAGGTCATGATCTCATGGTCCGTGAGTCCGAGCCCCACGTCGGGCTCTGTGCTGACAGCTCAGAGCCTGGAGCCTGTTTCAGATTCTGTGTCTCCCTCTCTCTGACCCTCCTCCGTTCATGCTCTGTCTCAAAAAAATAAAGTAAACGTTAAAAAAAAATTTTTTTTAAACATGCAAAATGCAGATAATAATTTGGGGACATTGATTTTTTTAAAAAGGCTCTTCTGTTTTGATTGGAAATAAAACATAGCAGCAGCTGCCCGTGACAAGGCAGCAGTTATGAACCACGATGGTGCTGTGCCCACGAGCCTCGGAGGTTGCTGTTGGGGGCGGCAGCAGTGGTCCTCAGGTCCGGAGTCAGCATCCTGCCCTGGTGGGTATGAGGTTTGAGATGTCTGCGGGCTTGGCAAACGGGGGCTTGGCTCCCGGGCCAAATGCGGCCCATCACCTGTTTTTGTAGATAAAGTTTTATCGGAATACAGTCGCACACATTCGTGACATATTAGCTATGACTGCTTTTACGATACAGCAGTGGAGCCAAATGGTTACAACAGAGACCATATGGCCTGCGGAGCCTAGAATATTTATTATCTGCCTTTTCCAGAAAAAATCGCCAACGTTGTTTTTACAGAAAACCCAGTTGCCTGACGTTGACTTAGGTTAGAGCTACTGTCCCATTGTATAGATGAGAACGCTAGGCCACTGAGTGAGAAATCGGGCTGCTGAGTGGCGAAGAGACTCTTCAGGAAGTCTCACGCCACATCTTCCACATGACCCGTTCTTGTCCAGCTCTATTACTGACTGTGCGACCTTGTCCTCTCTAAGCCTCTGTTGACTTCCCTGCCCCATGGAGAAATGCTTTGCTGCAGGTCAGGCTCCCCAGGAAGCAGCCTTTGATAGATTTGGGTGGAGCAATTTTTAGGGGGGGTGCCCCGGGGAACACCTGTGGGGAAAGGAGGGCACAGGAGTGGGCAGGGGGAAAGACGGGCTACGATGCAGTCACAGCAGTGGCTTTATTAGCCAACCCCCGGGAGAGCCCTGGAACTGGGATGGCCTTTTGGAGTTGTTCTGAGTTGGGACAGGAGGGTGGGGCACACGGCACAGGGCCGGCCCCATGTTCTGTGCCCTTCTAATTCGGGAGATCTGGTGAGAGTGTGGGCCCAGTGCTTGGTAGCCCACAGCCTGCTCGGAAGGGAAGCAAGTAGCCAGCACCGTGGCTCATAGGAGGGGCAGGCCCCTGTGTCTTCTCCCATTTTGCTTCTCCAAATAATAGGATTTCAGGACCTCCTCTCCCAGAGCCAACTGAAAGACATACCCCCTCATCCCCAGAGTCCCCTGAAATCCACAACTAAGATACAGTGCATGGGGGCACCTGGGTGGCTCAGTCGGTTAAGTGTCTGACTCTTGATCTCGGCTCAGGTCATGCTCTCACAGTTCATGGGTCCAAGCCCCTCATCAGGCTCTGTGCTGACAGCACACACAGCCTGCTTGGGACTCTCTGTGCCTCCCTCTTTCTGCCCCTCCCTGTGTACATGCTTGCTCTCTCTGACTCTCTCTGTCAAAGATAAGCAAATAAATAAACATTTAAAAATAAGTAAATGAAATACACTGCATGGAGGGCATCAAACAGGCTCTTATGGTGGGTGTGATGTGTGTGGACCATGATTCAAGTTTGCTGCTGGTAACGCTCTGCTCCAGGAGTGCTGGGAATCGTGTCTTGCTCAGACAAGAGCTTGCGCACGCAAGCAGACAGTCGGGTGAAGTGCTGGGTTCACAGAGACAACATTTATTTATCCCCATCCTCTCTGCGTTCTAGTTCCAGTGGCGATTCTCCCGAGAAGACATGCACAACAGGCAGATGAGGAAGTCCAAAGGCAAACTCAGCGCCAGAGACAAGCGACAAGCAGAAGAAAATGAGAAGAATTTAGAAGACCAGTTTTCCAAAGCCGGAGACGTGGGAAACTGTGTGCCGGGCCTGCATCAGGAGGACGAGGTGTCCGAGGAGCTGAAGGTCCCCGCCCAGGAGATCACAGAAGGAAAGCTCTGTGTGGAGGGTGGGGCTGTGCAAAACGGTCCTGCGGGTCATTGTGGGGCCCCGGAAGGGGGCTGCGCTGAGCAGTCCCATCCCAGAGAGGATGCCAGGGAGGGAGGCGCCCAGGAAGTGGCCGCAGAGCCCGAGACAGCGGGGGACAACTGAGTCCTGAACGGTTGGTGTTGCACGCCTGATGCGCTGGCAAAGCGGAGGTACCGTGCCGGCATCTGGGTGGGGGGCTGGTTTGCCCCAGCGTCACGTGTTACCCTTTGGCTTGGCTTGACCTCTTCCCGTGAGCTCACCGGGCCCTCTGAGGGCCGGGTCCCTGACAGTTTTGGTCTCTGCACATCCACTAGAAATGTGTCGTAATGCCCCAGTGTTAGAACGCAAGAGGTCAGGTTATTTCTTCATCTGTTTCCCAGTCCCATGGGAAGGAGTGGCCCATCCAGTGCCTGTGTCCACCCCCCCCCACCCCACCACTGCCAGGTCCCCCAGGGAGCATTCGAGTCAGGTCCATCCATGGACCTCCCTGGCTACAAACCAAGACTGTTCATTCCCACACCCTGCCGGGGGTGCATTTTACGTCCGCTGCTGCTCTCTGCAGCTCTTTGGTGATGTAACAACCCCCGGAGCCCATCAGGTGCCCTCCTTCATCTAAGCCCCACACGCCCTGCTGCTTTGACAAGGAAAATGACAGTAGGGAGGGGAGGTGCCCCACCTCCTGGCTTTTCTTGAAGTATTCCCATAGATACTGGTAATTTGAAAATGAAGAGGTAATTCTGTGTGTACACCTGATCTTGCAGAGTTTCCAAGAAGGTATTCTGTATTAGTATAAATGCCAAAAAATTTTTTAAAGAATTTGTACTCAGCACATTATCTGAACACACGTTCCTTCTTCCATTTCAGGGCAACCCGACTGGTTGGGAGCTCTTGTTATGTGCTATTTTAATCAGTGTATCATTGGCCAAGTTGTTTCCATGTATGCTATCATGTGTTTATATTGTCCAGAAAGTATTGTTAAGGCTTTAAGTAGTTGCAACTGGTGAACCGTGGAGAGAGAATGCCGATTGTCTTGACCCAAACAACAGCCTTTCTCTTCTCTTTCTTGTTTAGTTACTTAAAGCAATAAATCATCTATGAGTTTAGTGCATTGTGAGCATTGAATATTGTGTCACAGTGAAAAGCCTGTCTAGCCTCATGTCCAAAGGACTCGACTCCACAGTCCCCATTCATTCTTTATATAAGTTTCTGACTCCTGGCAGCATGATGATTTTGGAGAAGAAAATGAAGCTCCTGTAGAAAACAGCAGAGCCAGCTAAACACGCTGTGCTTTCCTGTCATTTGTAGAAGGAAGATGGAAAGTGGGATTCAGGTGTCACCAGGTGAGGCAGGGCACAGCCGCTCCCCATTGCCCGGGGTGGTGGAAACAACTTTTAAAACAAACAAAAAGCCCTACCTCGGTTTCTATGCATGTTTCCAGACTTTTAAGTAAATTATTTCATGAAGCAAGTCTCTTCCCTGTTTGCAAGTTTGCTGAAATACACGTTTATACTATATTTTGTAGGGCAGAATTGAAAACCCTGTACAGCCACATTGTACATTTGTTTTCCTCTTTTTTTTTATAAAGTTTATTTATTTTCAGAGACAGAGACAGCGTGAGTTGGGGAGGGGCAGAGAGAGAGAGGGAGAGAGAGGGAATCCCAAGCAGGCTCCGCACCACCAGCTCAGAGCCCGACACAGGACTCAAACCCACGAAACTGTGAGGTTGTGACCTGAGCTGAAACCAAGAGTCGGACGCTTAACCAGCTGAGCCACCCAGGTGCCCCAGTTGTTTTCCTCTTGGTTTTTGAACAAACTTCCACCACCGAGGCCCAGAGCTTCCTTAAAAAGGTTGAAGGCTCTGTTCAAAGAGAAGGCAACTGCTTAAAAATGACATTTTCTGCAGTTATACCCAAGAACATCTATACAGCATTGATATTAAAAATTATCTCTTGGCTTATATCTTCGAGGGTCACGGCTTTTTAAAAATGCAGTAGTTCGCAGAGCCTGGGACAAAAACGATGCCCATCTCTCACAACTTTGGGAGGCGTTTGGTCCCAGCATGCACCCCTTCAGGTGGATGCCTGTATCACTCGGCAGTAGGTACGTTTTTCAATAATTAAATGACATGTATGTTGGCTGCATGTGTTATGGGAAAACAATTGAAGGTGACTGTAGCTAATTTGAATTCCTCAGGGGGTTTGACCCTAGCGCCAGGCTAACAAGTAATTCCTGAATGTCTTGTCTTTTCCGGCTTTTGCCCGCTCGTGCTGACACCCGGCAAAATATTAGTCTACCTGAGACAGTTCTCATCCTGGCTGACTGGGGAGCTTTAAAAATTCTTGATACCTGGGTCCCACTCGAGACTGGAGTGGCTGCTCCAGGGAGTGGCCTGGGTCCCGAGTTTGTAACCCCGCTGTGGATTCCACGGTGCAACCAAGGGTGAGAGTCGCTGGCCACAGGATTGCTGTGAGCTGAATCACAGCTTGTTCCTTGTGAAATGAAATGCTTTTTACGAAAAGTAAATAACCAACACCCTGACACTCCACCCCGACATCCTCCATGTGTCTTTCAAGCAGCGGGATTCCCAAAGGAAACGTTACTCTCCTATGATTGCCGATAGGGTGAAAGTCCATTGTTGGCCCGGACGGGGCCTCATGACCAGGAAAGCCGCAGAGGCTTGTAGGAGGCTTGTGCACATGGCAGTCAGTCTTTGCATCTGTCACAGCAGGTCTGGAAGGAACGGGGAGTTCTGGGGGTGATCAGGTGACTTACGTGGGGGCCTAAGTGACTTCGATGGCCCTGCTGCCACCACCATCCAGCTCGATGGGACATTCCAGAGAGTCAGAGGCACCACGAGAAGGGGAGGCCAAGTCTGGCCTCATGGGAAGGACTGGGACTCTGCCGTGGAGGGTTCTTTGTTCATTCTTCGGCCCAGTTGGTTTGCCTGTGGAAAGAGGTTTTTGGAAGGGGAAAAAAAAAAAAAAAAAAAAAAAAAAAAAACCTCTCCCAGGAACAAATGAGAAGTTCTTCTGAAGCTGTGTCTGAAATTCTGAGTCTTAGGCCAGGAGGGTATTTTTCTTTTCTTTTTTTTTTAATTTTTTTTTTAATGTTTATTTGTGCGTGAGAGAGAGAGAGAGAGAGAGAGAGTGAGGAAGGGGGAGAGAAACAGGGAGACACAGAATCCGAAGCAGGCTCCAGGCTCTGAGCTGTCAACACAGAGCACGATGCGGGGCTCGAACTCACAAACTGTGAGATCACGACCTGAGCCGAAGTCCAGGAGGGTATTTTTCAAGACCTCTTCTTCACCTCCAGAGGTTCAGGGGAGGGTCGTGGGTGGGGAGGAGTGCCATTCAGGTGTGGTGCTCTCAAGTGCACATGGCCACAAGGTCAAAGAATTGACACATGGAGAGCCTAAGGACACCCATGTTAATGAAGCAGTGAGCCTGTTCGACATCGGGCTCCCCTTGGTGGAAAAGCCCAGCTGGGCTTTGGAATCGGCTGGTTAGGATGCTAACCTACACACGTAATCTCCAGGTAATTTCTCCACATCTCCAAGCACCAGTGTCCCCACGTGTGAAATGGGGCTGACCCCCACCCCGTTAGATTTTTGTATGCAGACGACGTGTGCAAAGTGCTTGGTGTGGTTGTCAGTGAATCCTAATGCCGGCCGGTAACAAGGTGGCAGAAGCTGTCAATGCCCAGCCGGTGCCCACAGACTCCCGTACTTCCAGCCTCTCTGCACTCCGGGCCATGTGACTGGGTTCTGGCCAACAGGACATGAGCAGATGTGATGCAGGCCACTTCTGGGCCTGACCTTTACAAAGCCCCTCACGTCACCTCTGCCCTCCCAACACCCTTGGCTTAGTTGAAGATGGACCATGACGTGAGAGTACATCAAAATGAGCTATGCTAGGGGTGCCTGGGTGGCTCAGTTGAGCGTTCGACTTTGGCTCAGGTCGTGATCTCACAGCCCGTAAGTTCGAGCCCCACAACGGGCTCTATGCTGACAGTAAGAGCCTGCAGCCTGCTTCAGACTCTGTGTCTCCCTTTCTCTCTGCCCCTCCCCTACTCCTGCTCTGTCCCTCTCCTTCAAAAATAAACATTTAAAAAAATGAGCTATGCTAAACCACTGACAATGCAAGTTTTATCTGTTACAGAAGCATAGCATAGCCCATCCTGACAGAAATACTCTAATAACATTTTTCAAAGTCTTCACGTATTTGTTAGTGGTTTGTAAGTAACAATACGGTCAGCACGGTCCAGTCCTTGTCTGAATGTTTTCAAATCTCCAAGCTGATCATACTTCACTTAAGCTGTGCTTGATGGGACCAGCTTCAAGAAAACACTAGGACGAGACGTTCTAATTCACTTCTTACGAAGCACATTTTATCAGTTCTCCAAACATATTAATCATGGCCGGTTTTAAGCCACAAGACATGTTTCAGGAAGAGCTCTCGGGTGGCGCAGTGCTTATCAGGAGGTTCACGTTCACCCAAAACTCCTCACTCAGGCAACACGCTGCGGGCGGGCGGGGCCTGGCTGACCCCGGGAGCCCCCGTGGGGCAGCACAGTCTGGGTGGGCCCCGAGTGGGCCCAGAGCGGCAGCTGGGAATGAAGGCTCAGGAAAGGGTTGGTGGGAGGCGGCAGGAGAAAGGACGGGGGCCGTAGGCGGCAGCCTCGCGGTGGCTCGGTGCCGACTCCCCAGCCGTGCCAGCGGGTCGGGTCTCCCACGGGTCCCGCCGAAAGTGCTGGAGCTGACTGCGTGGGCGGGGCCGGCTGCGCCTCGGGTGATGAGCGCTCTGCCGGCTCCGCGACCTGCCCAAATGAGCTCGGGAGAGTCTGGTTTTCCCGTACCTGGTCCCCAGGGTCTGGAACAGGGAAGCACGTGGACGTGAGATCTAAGGACAGGACCCAACAAGTCTTTGGCTGGGATTTCTGAGGTGACGGTTGCCAGGGAAGGAAGCAAAGCCAATGTTTACCACAGGTTCCTGTTGATAGAGATCATCTCTGTGGCCAGACTAAGAAAGCTCACTCCGGGTTGTCGAGAGCTGCTCTCTGAACCTGCCAGGTGCTCGCTTCCCTAGCCGCTGCGACACAGTGGAGTGTGGCATCTCCCTGCCGAG